ATTAAAGATTATAGCTTACCGTCTCTGCATCATTTATGCTATTTTATTCTCCTGCTATTATTTGTCCACTTTACTCCTTCATTCCACTGTCTGCCCTGTTCATTGAGGCTTCTCTGTCACTGTTGCTGGAATCCTGGTATTTTTTCCTCTCTCTCTCTCTGGAATTTCCTTCAGTATTTTTTGTAGGGTAGGTTGGTGGCCATGAACTCCCACAGTTCCTCCTTGTCTTGGAACTATCTTGTTTCTCCATTAATTTTAAGAGAGAATTATTCTGGGTACATCAGTCTTGGTTGGAGGTTATTTTCTTTCAGGGCTTGGACTATTTCCCCCCAGGCTCTTCTTGATTTGAGAGCTTGTGTTGATAAGTCTGTCATTATTTTGATAATTTTTCCATTATAGGTAATCTGCTTCTTTTCTCTGGCTGCTTTTAATATTCTGTTCTTTTGGTGGATTTCTGGAATCTTGATTATTATATGTCTGGGTATAGATCTGTTTTGGTTGTAGTTGGTTGTAGTTCTGTATGCCTCTTTTATCTGGATATCATTTCTTTTTCCTATGCTTGGAAAGTTTTCCTTAACTATATCTGTGAATAATCTTTGTAGTTCATTTGTAGTTACTCCTGCTTCTCCACTCACATTTTTTATTCTTAAGTTATAAATCCTCTTGTCATCTTCTAGTCTTTGAATTGTTTCTTCCTGGCTCCTTGTTATTTTAAAGAGATCTTTTCTTTCACAATCACACACCATAAATCTCTCTTCATGTTTTAAAAGGCTAATTTTAGTTTCTGTCAAGGCATTTTGCCAGCTTTCAATGGAGTTTTTAGTTTCCTGGTAGTCTCTTTGGATCTGTTTCATGTATTCTAGATTTTGTATATATTCTTCATCAAAGATTTCTCTTCCTTTTCTGAATTCCTCTGTTCTTCCATCTGTGTTCTCTTGGGAGGGGTTTATCATTTCTTTAATTAATCTTTTTATATCTTGCCTCACTTGGATCAGAAGTACAGTTTTAAATTTGTCTATGAGGTCATGAAGGTATGTCTTTATGTCTGCTGATGCTGTGTCTAATATTGCATGATTACTGCACTGGTTCTCTTCTGTGTTTTCCTCTCCTGGGCTTATTTTTCCAGGATCAGCGGCTGGAGGGTTTTTTATTATTATTATTTCTGTCTCTTGTCATGCTTCTGGTTTCTTTCAGACCGGTGTGTCCTGGGGGTCTCTGGCCCTCTCTGTATTACTTAGGGTCTTTCCGAAGTGTGCTGACTGGGGTTTTGCTGCCCTCCCCAATTTGCTGTTATCTGAGGTATCTTAAACTCCCTCCCAGGGGCTCAGGATGGTGCAGGGACACTCACCCCAGGGCGCCCAGTCCAGAGTTCAAGGTGCAGGCAGGCAGGCCCAATTCCCCGAAGCTGGTCGAGCATGACAGGAAACCAGAAAGTTCTGGTTCTGTATTTTTGATTATTGTCTGAAGAGGTGTTTTCACAAGCAGATTCTCTGGGCTCTGTTCGCAGCAGTGATGGCAAAGACTCACTCACCCACCCACTCACCCATCCGGGGACCTGGGGGTGCTCCGGCAGCAGGGGCCCACTCAGCGCCCCTGCCATGGCTCAGGTCCTCCTGACTGGCGAGGGCAAAGGCGGTCATGCATCCCAGCAGGTCCGTCCCGACCGGGACATCACAACATGGCCTCCTCCTCGCGGCCTCCCACCGGCACAGATCTGGGGAGGCGCAGGGGCAGGGGCAGCTGGTGGCACTGAGTGGCTCGCTCCCCCAGCCTCCGCGGCCGGCTGCAGAAACGGCCTGTCTCTGGGGCCCAGCGGCGCTCAGGGCTGGGTGGTGGCACGGCGGGGACTGTATGCTTGATTGGTTTTTCTCACCTAAGTTTCTTCTTGGGACAAGAGAATTCCTCTCCCTCTGTTCTGGGCTCCCCACTCTGTATTATGTTGAATTCTAAGTTGACTATCTCAGGGAGCCTCTGTAGCGCGCTGTTATCTATCCGCCATCTTTGCTCCGCCACCCCCCCCCCACATTGTGCAGCTTGAGGGTCTCCTGGGGTCTTTCCTATCCAGGCTGTAGCTTGTAGAGTTCACAGAAAGCAGCCCATCCAGCTAGGGTACTGTCTGCAATGTGCGAGGGGTAAGTCCCAAATTCTTTCTATTAGCTAGTCTTACTACTATACAATGGTATCATGATGTGGTTTTTAAGTTACATTTCCCTCAGGACTGATGTTAAACAGCTGTACATAGAATTATTTCCATCCATTCATCTTCTTTGGTGAGGTAAGGCTTCAAACCTTTTGCCCATTTTAAAAATTAGACTGTTTTCTTATTGTTGAATGGCAAAGATTCTTCATATATTGTGGGTACAGGTCCTTTTCAGTTATGTTATCTGTAACTGCTTTCTCCCAGTGTATGGCTTAACTTTTCATTTCTTAATAGTCTTTCACAGGACAAAAGTTTTTAACTGAATGGTTATATTTCTTTAAAGATCTTTTTATGATGCAATATTTGATTTGTTTTCAGTTAATTTTTGTATGATGTGGCTAAGCAAAGCATGCAATGGAATACTGCACTGAGATAAAAATGAACTATAGTTTTAGGAATTACACATTTCTTTTCTTTTTTTTTTTTTTTTTATCGGTACCAGGGATCGAACTCACGACTGCACACTTGCAAGGCAGGCACTTATGCCACTGAGCTAAATCTCCAACCCCTATGAATTACACATTTCTTTAATGAAAACTTTTCAAAAACTGTCCCTTAATTATTAGAAATATTCACTGAAGTGTTTAGGATTGAATAAATGAAGTGTGGGGTTTGTTTTAAAGTATTTTAGACAAGAAAAAAAGAGGAGGAGTAAGAGAAAAGAAAGGAGAATAAAAAGAAAGAAGAAAGGAAGGGGGAAAGGGGAAAAGCTAATGAAATAAATTAGGAAAATTGAAACTTTTGAATCTGGGGAATAATAAGTTCACTGAAATCACTACTACTTTTGTAGTGATTTCCCTGAAAGATTTTCTTAATACAAAAATTTAAAAATAACTTCCCCTATTGTCATTTTCCTCTTTCTTTCTTTCTTTCTTTGTACCAGGGATTGAACTCATGACCTCGTGCTTGCCAGGCAGGAGCTTATGCCACTGAGCTAAATCCCCAGCCCCTACTATTATTTTCTACATCATTACTTTGTTTCATTTTTTATGTGTGCATTGTCTGCCTCCTTCTAGAAGGTACCTAAGGCTTGTCTGCTACTATATTTCCACAGTTAAATCCGTTCCTGTCATGGAACAAGCCTTGCCTCACCTGTCAACACCTTACATGTCATAGGCTTTCTCAGACAGGTGATCTGTTGACTTGATATTTTGTTTTTGGTATTACTTTAAAAAACATCTCAGCACAGCCCCACTTGCCTCAAAGTAATCCCAACTCCCCCACTTAGGTGCCCCAGCTCGGGTCTCCTTATAAAATGGCAAAATTTCGAAGGCTATAGAGGCTCAGCCTCCACCTGGACTTCTTTATAGTTACCTTACGACCCCCATCTGGTTATTTGCTCATCTGCAAAGCTGCAAAGCCCAACAGTCTCACTTCATCTACTGCTAAGTTCCTGCAAGGCTGTTAATTTTAAGGAGCTTGTGATTTTATAGACTCCATCTCCTTAAATTGTCTTAAGGCTCTACTAAACAAAGAACAGATGTTGTACTCTTTAAATCTGTAGCTACCAGCTGCTAATCAGCTCTCAATATCAAAGCCACCTTCTCCATCCGGGGAAGTGATTGAACAACCCAGAAAACAAGTTTTTGTCTCACAATAGCTCCTTAAGAGTACTAGCATAGTTGAAATTTCTCCTGTGATAGTTCTTGCATTTAAAAAAACCAAGCCTAATCTACTTGTCTGCTTCATTTATGTTCCTTTCTCTATTTTGGGTTTGTGGTATTAGAAGAATACCTTTGCATAAAGAAAATGTTCGTGTTTATAGCAGTCTCTTTCTGCTCTTTACTGCAGTCTGACAACTTCAGATGACAGATTAGAGACTCAATTGTGTGTGTGATGGAATTCATCCAGAAATGTGTTCATGGGACTGGCGCATCCTTCTGTATTTAGGATGAGACCCACGCTCTCACTGCAGGCAAAAAGAGGCAGCCTTAGCGGCTTTTGGGTCCTGATTTTTGAAGCTCACCATCCCCATTAACCAAGCTCCCTCGACTCCCATCCCGTGAGAGCCCTTTCCTTTCCAGAGTCCTTTGGGGTGCTGAGCTCAGGAGGCCCCATTCCAGACTCTCACCTTTTTCATGCAGAACCTCCAAGATGTATTCCAGGGCCAGAGCATTCCGGACACAGGGAAGCTGCCAAGCAGGGTTGAATTATAGAGCCCTCGGAATCGATGCACCGTGCCAGATGGTCTGCTCGGATAACTGGAAACATTAAATCTGTATTACACTGTACAGTATTTTAAGGCTTGAGAAAAATAAGTTCTTTATTCTATATACACTCGACAAATACTTCCTGAGCTCCTGGCATGGGCCAGATCCTGCAAGATTTATTGAGATGTGTTGTCCATCCCTCTGGCTCCCGTTAAGGCAAAGAAATGGAGCATAAGCAATTGACCACGACACAGAGTGACACATGCTGTAGATAAGGCTTTCCTATCCTTCTTACTCAGAATGAGTTCATACCTGGGAGTTTGGGTGATGATATATTTGGGGGGGAGGGTCAATTTTTTATTTTAGGGTGCTGGTATGCTTGCTATTATCAAACACCTTAATGCTTACAAGAATACTGACGCCGCAGGTATGAGCGTCCTCATTTTACAGGCGACAGAACTGAAGCCTAAAGATGAGGCTCCTAGCTTGGCAGGGGCAGGGACCGAATAAACTGAGTCTTACTCCCCATACAGGCACAATTCAACCAAGGCCCCTCTGCGATCGTTTACGTACGCTTTATTCCATTTGGACACTAGAGGGCGCTGAGGTGGCGGAACAGTGGGAGGAAGCTGCCTCCGGGAACTCACTGCGCAGCCGCACACACTGGCCTTTCCCTGTGCGCCCTTGAAGAAGCGGAAGTGTTGGCGCAGTGTGCGGGAGGCCGGGGCGAACCTGCTGCGCTCTCCAGCCGCGGATGAGGACAAGGATCACGGGCTGCAGCCTTCACCAAAGCGCTTCAGCCAGCTGCTCCCTTTTCCCGTAGTGCTCTCAGGGACGCTTGCGGGATTTAACCGAATGCCTGCGCACAGCCCCGAGGCACACATGCACCTTGCTGCTTCTTTCCGCTCACCTCACGGCTGATTCCAAATCAGGGTGGTGGCCACAGCTGCTTAGCCACCAGTTGGTCCAAGGAAGGTAACGAGTTCGCCCGTGGGTTTTACCCACACTCTAGAGGTGACCCCCAAATCCCAGAGAGATGAACAGCTTGGCGCGCCATCCTCCGCCCCCGCTGACCCAGTTACAGAGGGCCAGGGCTGCGGCACGTGGGCAAAGCGCTGAGGCTGCGGCCTTCAGGGTTATTTTTCCAGGAAGGAATAAGCACGCATGAGAAACTGCCAGGGCTGGCAAGAGGCGGATGGCCCCGTTCTCCAATCCTTTTCTCCCCCAATCTGTGCTGTTCACTTCTGGGTCGCTCTTCCACGATTTACAACTCCCAAGTATGTGCATGAAAATTACTAGAAAAAGCTACTTGGTGTTTTAGGGGAAAGTATTTAGAAATCATTCATGAGCAATGTGTTTTCCATCTTTACTCACATGTTTCAGGCTTGTGTGACAGAAACCAAAGGGTTGTGTTCAACCCAGCCACACCCTGAAATGCTGCACAGTAAGGGTGACACACAGCCGGTCACGCTTTGGGACGTGCAGTCTGCCAGCTGGGGACATCACCCTGCGCTCCCACAGGATGCGGATCCGCCCTGTAATCCACAGTCTTCCCGACAAGAAGCACAGCAGAACGGGAACATTAGGTGGTTGTCTCTTTTTCCTGAGGCAGCTAGCAATTTTGTTGTCAGTATTGAAATTATGGGACCAGAGCGCTATTTAATAAACGGCATGGTGGAGAAGAAGTTAAAGAGGAGGACTGGAGACAGGACTGGAGAGGGATGTATGGAACAAATTAAGGACTGGGAGAAGGAGGAAGCAGGTGAGAAACATGTCAAAGCTCATATGACCAGCTCCACTTCGTTTTTGGTGTGTGGACCTTGGGGAAGGAAAGGGAACAAATATGGCAGCTTCACATCCTTCAAGCACTGACCCTGTGCAAGCTCATCTGATATGGTCTCATCTAACTCTCACAAATCATAAGAATTAACAGTGTCCACCGGCACAAGGAAGCCAGGTCATCTGTCAACAACCATTAGGCTCTGAACCCAGGTGGTTAAACTCTAGAATCTGCATCCTTCCCCCACATTGCTTCGTGGTCTTGTTTCCAGGCTGGGGACTCAGGAGATGGTGGTACAACTGGCTGGGATGGAAAGTCAGGAGGAGGAGCAGGTGGCCATGTCTGTGGTGGCTGTGTGGGCAGATGAGGTAGTGTGTGGGCCCTGTGCAGAGCATGGATGTTCACAGTGGGCTCCTTACGCTTCTTCAAGGGTGCGAGATGTCCAGTGGGCACCATGTTCCAAGGCAGAGAGGGAGCTGATTTTCATTAAAAAGAATGAAACATCTGTAAAAATACTGTTGGCTGGGTTTCCCAGTCAGGTTATTAAAGAAAGGCCTGCCATACTAACAAACAGGAAGACCGTGCATGTCCCAGTGGAAGGTCTGGCCAGAGCTTAAGAAAAAGCAGATTCATCAGCAAAATACTCAGGCCTCTGGAACATGAGGAGTGCCTCATGGAGAAGCCTACAGAAGAGACCAGGACCAAGCTTTGAAGAAGGAGAGGGGAAGTCCCTGAGGCTTCCTCCCTCTTCATTGCTAGGGACCAGAGCATCCCATTGGAATCACCTGGGAGTTCTGTGCCCAGAACTAGATAAATCAGAATGTCTTGGAATGGACTTTCCAGGTGATCCTAATGTGATGCAAGGATGAAAGCCCACAGATAAAGGAGGAAGGTTTGTCCTGGGAGGTGACTAGAGAGCCAGACAAATAACTAATGTTTACAAAGCCCTTCTCTATTGAGAAAGCACTCACACATATGTGGCATTACTTAAGGAATATCTCATTGTCACCCACTTATCAGATGGGGAAACCAATACCAAAGAGAGACATGACTTGCTTAAGGTCAGCCATTATTTACCGGAAAAGCCAGGACTAGAACTTAGATAGAGCTGCTGATTTCAGATTCAGGGCTTTTTCATAACTCCATACAGGGCAACACCTCAGAGGGAAAGCCAAGTTTGTCTGTATCCACCCAGAAAGTGAAAATGTAGATATTTTAAAAGTAACACTGATTCATGGAGTTCACCTAAAGTTAAAGTTCAGTGTACTGAAATGTCAGGAGGTGGAATAGCATGAGATCAGGCCGAGGAGAACCCGGGAAACCCAGATGGCCCAGGCCAAGAGCCAGTGAGGAATTACGATGGGAAAAAGAGTCAGGGAAGACAGGAGGGTGCCAAGGTTCTGCCCAGGCCTGGGAGGCCCCAGGGCCTGGGATCCAGACACAACCTTTGGGCTGCCTATCCTAGGAAATCTGAAAAATTCTTGAGGTTATTTATCAGTTCATAGAATTTCTTCTGGGACTTATGGGACACCTGAGGGCCTAAGGAGCATGGAATCATCTGACTAGCCAGATTCTAATCACATGCTAATTCACATAGCACTGTGTCATTTAAAATACAGTGACATCTTCCATTCCCATGATTGGTCAAGGTGACTGTTACTTCCCACCTCTGGAGATTCACATGTGAAACCGGAATAATACCTTACACAAACACGAGGATGCGCGGAATCATGTGTCTGATGAAATGCCCAGCACACAGGTGGGTGTGGGACAAGTGCCAGCACCTCCTGGTTGTGTTTTGTGACTGCGGATGGTCAGGCTCACCGCATCACATGTGGTCTAAGCCGTCAAGAATGTGACCACAAGTTGGTTACCCATATGAAATAATAAAAGAGATACCTGAACTCTTCTCATGTGGTTGTTGGGAGGGTTAAATGAGGTGGTACATGGAAAGCTCTTAGCTTAGTACTCTTGGAAAATATTCACTGTTTGAAGCTTATTTAAAGTTCTAATAGCTGGGTGTGGTGGGGCACACCTACCTGTAATCCCAGCCCTCCAGAGGCTGAGGCAGGAGGTTATTGCAAGTTCAAGACCAGCCTGGGTTACAAAGTGAGCTCAAGGCCAGCCTGAACTGCACTGTGAGGTCCTGTCTCAAAAAGATCCTGCTTCACCCCAAAAAGTTCCAATACTTAAATAGCAAGTGCACAAGCAACCCTGGGATCTAGGCCAGGACATCTGAACTGAGTTAGGTCACCAGCCATTTTCAATTTTTAATTTTGAGGTGAGGTTTTCGGAAAGCCCTTAAGTTGCCCACTGATTTGCAGGCTGCCTGCTTCAGCCTCCCACAGTGCTGGAATGATAGACACACAGACAGTTCCCGATGATAACGGATGTTAACCCAAGTGGGAAGGAAAAGAAGATGGAGGCCAATGGCACTCCAGACACTGACAGCCTGACACGGCACTTCCCAGGGATGGAAGGGGGCTCGGGAAAGTTGGCAGTCTTTCCAAGCTTACCAGATGGAGACATGGGAGTCAACACATCCAGCACAAGCCCCACAGCCATGGTCCCCGCCAGCAGTTCCCAGGCTGGTGTGCACCAGAGTCACCTGGAGAGTGGGCTAGCATCCAGGGTGGCCTTTGAACCTGCCTTCTGCCAAGTTCCCAGGAGAGGTAGTGCTTTTTGTCTGGCCTCCTATCCAAAGAAACCCTGGTGTGCTCTGGGGAGCCCTCTCAGGAGGAGGCATTGTGGTAAGAGGCCCTTCGGGTCACCAGGAGCCCCAGGGGGCACCCAGGGGTTCGCTGAGGATGCACATCCCTGCTGAACTCCTTAGGGCCTCATGACAACCACCTGCAGCCTTGTCAGATGTGCAGGGATCCGTGTCGAGCACAGCCTATGACCTTGAAGCCAGCACTTCTAGTGTTTTAATATTTTATTCACTTGACAGGGAGCAGACCTAGGGGCCAATAAGACACCACACTGTTGGCTTAACTATTTGCTTTTGAACGATAAAACTCCTTTGGGCTCTTACAAAGCCTTTGCTTGGCCCGTCAAGAACAGCTCAGACCCTGAAAGGAAAAAATCCAGTCCCCAAAAAGAGACCCATTATTCCCAGACCTTCCCCATGAAGCTGCCCTCCAGAACCACTTTCCTGGGTCAGGCGACGTGGACATGCCATGCTAAGGGGAGCAGGTGTTCTGAGCCCTGGTACACTAGACAATTTGCATACCTTACAAAATATATAAATTAAGAGGTCTATATGTATACAAAATCTTTCAAAGGAGGCTGAACTCCATTCTATGTCATGCCAGTATTGGTGAGAGCCTTGCTAACATAGGTGGTTTTCACTGGAGCTGATATTAAGAGATTTATACACAGGCCCGGCCCCGCTCGTGTCCCCTATGAAACCCTCTGGTGTTGTCAGGGCCTCTGGGCAGCCTCAGCACCCCCACAGGCAACCCGTCCCCAGTCTGCATCTTCCGAGCCATCAGGGGACTCGCCCCCGGACTCTTTTCCTGTGTCCCCATCTCGGCTTGGCGGCGCCTTCGCACCCAGGGGCTGCCGGAGGGAGTGGCACTGCTGTCCGAGGAGTAATCCATGCACTTGCGGAAGATCTCGGGACTCATACTGGAATTCAGTCTACTGTCCTCGGCCAGTGGAGATTTTCGGGAAACGCCTTTGCGCTGGGCCAGCGGGCTGCTCCAAGGACTTGAGCATGGAGAGGCATTTGGACTCAGGAAGAGATTCTGGTGGGCAGAAGGGCTGAGCTTGTTGGGAACCACATGCCGTCGGCCTGCCATGGGGGAGGTGGGGTTGCTCTCGGGGTCGGAGGAGCTGTTGGCAGAGGACTCGTCCCCCATGTACTGAAGCTCCTCCACTCGCTTGTTGATGGACTTGTTTAGGTGGATGCTCACAGTGGGCTCCTCATCGTGGTTCTTGTCTTTGGAAGGTTTCTTTTTGGGTGGCTTCGTACCAATCAGGATGGCCTTCATGTTCTCCTTGCTCTGCGATTCCGAGATCATGAACTCGTGGGCTCTGATGGCCGCTTCCACCTCCTCGAATTCCACAATGGCACATTCCTGGGTCCCCATCTGGCTGTACCGGCTGCTGATCCTCCGGATATCTGGGGGCAGCTCTTTCCCTGGTTTGAGGATCCGCACAGAAGAGATGACTCCAAAAGTCCCAAAGAGCTTGAGCAGGTGTTCCATCACCTTCTCCTGCACCCTGCCATTCTTCTGTGGAGTGCTTTGGGCCCACAGCTTGGGGGACAGGTGTAGGTCATAGACGAGGAGCATCTTGCTGGGGAGGTTCTCATTGGGGAAGAGTGGGACAGGGGTGGTCCTCCTCACCTTCCGGTGGTCTTCATTCAACTCCAGGATCACCGAATACTTTAGGGCATAAGCTGTGGTTCTCCAGTCTCGCGTGAGGTGTTTCACCTGGAGAACACAGAAGCCAACAACAGCAAATGGCACCTGATGTCCTTTACTGTCATCTCTCTCCCTTCCTCATTCCCCACCCTAGTACCTAGAATCACACCTGTCATGGGAAGCTCAAAGACCCGGTGAATGAAAACACTTTGTACAAGTTTGGATGAGGGTCGTGAGTGGTTCCATCCAAGAGAACACCCCAAGACACTGGAAATTCAATCCTGTGTGAGTTTATGGGTTAACTGTAAGGAGGTTGCTATATACACAAATCCTAGACTTGGCCTCTAGCTGGCAGAAAGACCTGGAAAATTATTCAGCCTCTTAGTACCTCACCATCCTCCTCTGTAAAATAGAACTGCTATTAATGTCAACCTCATAGTACTGTCAGGCAAATTAAATGAGTAGAAAATATATGTACATACAGATACACATTTATACATAAAATGTAGACTAATGGCTGAGTCTCAATGAATATTCAATAAATATGTTACCATTTCAAGATATTGAGCTATTATTTTGATAGGACTTGGAGATTTTAACATCAGATGTTCCTTGGAAATTGTATTTCTGCAATTCTGTATTTAATACAGAGAAGGGTCTGAGAGATTGTCCATATTTTTCTGCAGTCTGCCTGACAATGACATGGACTATTTCAACTTGGAACAAAATCCAACTTGGGTCTTGTGGGGGATTAGGAAATAATTCCTCCCTCCTTCTCCCTTGATGGAAATTTTGTGTCTTGACATTGCAGTATATGAAAGCTATCTTTATATTGTAAAACAGTTACTTTCTAGAGGCCCACTTCCGGGGCAGGGAATGTCAGGGAGAATGAGTCACCCCAAAGAAACAGTAGAGGTGGGTGGGACGGGTAACCTGAGCCAGGAATGGCGAAACCGCCGAGTCCTCTGAGGCCAGGCCAATGCAGCTGTTTTGCAGAAGGCCTGGGAGCTCTCGGGGCCACTGAGCCTCAAACAGAAACTGCGTGGAAAGCAAGGAGGAAAAGCTGAAAACCGTGGCAGAGTCACGCATAGGGTCAGGCTCCTGCACAGGGACTGCGCCCGTTGTAGCCTATGGCCTCGGGGCGAGATGACCCAGATTTAGTCTAAGGGTGCAGGAATCACAAGTCACCTACATGCAGAACCACAGACTAACCACGGTGCCACAGGCCAAAGGTACAAAGGAGAGGCCCAGGCAATGCAGGACTTCAGATGAAGAGTATCATTGCAGGGTGTTTGGAAAGCTATCCAGTGGCTCTGTAGGGGTGAGACGTGGTGATGGAGTTGCCTCCAAAATCAGCTGGAGAGAAGACACCGGAGAGGAGAAGAAACTCCCTCCTAGCCCTGAGATTTGAGCACCAAGGACCTGGGGAAGGAAAGTGCTGTTTTACTTAGAGGGCTAGAGAAGCGGGTGGCAGGCTGGGTCCTATCAGGACAGTAGCAGAAGGTTCATAGCAGGACCAAAGACCCCTCCAGGACCAGGAACAAAGCGTTCCAGGCCTGTGACCAGAATGTTTTATTAGAAGCGTCCAAGCAACACCTTAGAAGAGGAGGCAGGGACTTTTGGTCCTTGTGCAATTACTACAAGAGCTTTCTGAGAGCTTCCAAAACCCTGTAGTTACTCAATGCTGATAACCTTGGCCAAGTGTACCTGCCTTCCACTATGATCAGCAGAACATCTTTGCCAATGAAAAGCATCTCTACTCTGCTGTGGGTTGTGGAGGACTTTGTCTCCAGGCTGCAGCTGGTCTTCAACAGAGAAGAGTGCTCCTGGATAGCTCCCTAGTGGCAGGTTAGAAAGGAAAGGGAATCGGGCTGATCCTGGGGACCCCTGGGGAGCACAGATAGAACGTGCAGAAGGATTCCCTACAAACATTTCTTACTGGAGAGCTTTCTCACTGTTCCCTGGACATGAAATGTCTCTTCCTTCCCTTCTACCTTGAAAACTCGTGCTCATCTCTGAGATCCTATCCCACTGACACCACCTCTGGAAAGAGATTTCCATATAACATTAGCTAATCTGATCAACTAGCATCCAGCCATACTTTGTTCTGCTTTTATTCATCTGTTTATGGTTTTACTGTAATCTTCCCTGGCTCCCTCTCTCTTATTGGACCATGAGCTTTATAAGGGCAGGGGTGCCATATTTATTTTGTACATGCCATAGCTAACAAAGCACTCAGCAGATAGAAAGCATATGTTTGATGAATGAATAAATGATAAAAGAAGGAAAGAGCTGGAGAAGAGGGCAGAGCACATGAGTGGGTGAGGTGAAGAAGAACTCCCAGTAGCAAAGCTCTGCTTGCTGACCAAGAGCACAGGCAACTTGGCTGGGACCCACTTGTTACACAGCCTGTTATGTCACAAGCCACATGGTGCTCTCCTATTCTAGTAAACCTTTCCCCAAGAGAAACACAGAGTTCTTATCCCTACCAGGATGTCAGCTCTCTGAGAAGCAGGTAGTTCAGAGCCCAGACGCCGTGTCAGTGCACAACAAGAACAAACAGCCAGCTGCTCAGATGGCTGTGGTTCTCGGACTTCCTACCTCCAACCTCTGTCATACAGGAGGGATGTCTGTACCCCACACATCACACCAGCATCCTGGAAAGGGCTCATCACCCAGAGGTCTGGGGCTCCCTTCCTATAGATATTCAATGTGACAAATGAAATGCTTGGAATTCATGTAAATCTAGGCTGACAGGTGTCTTTCAAGATCACCCTGTACTGGTACAGCACCTCTCATAGGCACCCACACTATGCCAATACTGAGTATTTTGTTACTGCCCACCAGCTGAGATCCAGCCCAGTGCCCGGGATTCTTTTATAAGTATGCAAGCATATCCTTCATCATGAGCCTAAATCCCTTCTCTTGTTCATTTCTTAGGCTTCAGATTTAATTTTTTCAAAACAGTAGTCAGCGGGCATCAAGGAGGTAAAAATTGCTGGATGCCTCACCGTCCTGGAAGCAGCTGCTGAGCTGCTCGCCTCACCTTCTTGAAGGAGGTCAGCAGCTTGACGCTCACGTAGCCCAGCTTGTTCCGCCGCACATGCTTCAACAGGAAGGCATCCTTCTCCAGGTTTTCATCGGAGAAGTAGAACTCAATCTGGTCCACCAGCTTCCTGATGAGCTCCTGGTCGGGAGGCTTCCACTCCTGCTCCAGGTCCTCATGCTCATTCTCGCCCCCACTTGTGGTGCTGCTGAGACCAGAAGGAGACAGCGAGTTACAGGGGGGACATGTCTCTCCTGAGCTCCTGTGTGGCTCCAGGCACAGAGAAAGTGGCCTGAACTGGAGACAGGGTCACTGCAGATGGATTAGTGGAGATGTCATGGAAGATAGGATGGGCTCTAATCCAATACAACTGGGGTTCTTATGAAGAGATTTGGGGCACAGACACACACAGGGAGAAGCCCATGGAAGATGAAGGCAGAGGACAGGATAAAGCAACAGAAACTAAGGAATGCCACTGATGGCCACTGGAGGCCAGGGAAAAGCCTGGAATGGACACTTCCCCAGGACTGGAGAGCTGCACGGGCAGCTGACATTTGATTTCAGACTTCCAGCTGAGACATTTCTGTTGTTCTAGAGCACTTTGCTTGTGGCTCTTCATGACAGTACTCCTAAGAAATTATGCAGGGTCACACCTGAACTGGACTCCTCAGGGGCAGTGACTGCACGTCCCCAATCACCTAAGAAACCAAGGCTTTGCTTCTAACTAGTATGAATAATCCTTAAAATAGTAACACCCCTACCTACATTTATATGACACTCTGCCATTGGCAAAATGCTTTTGACATTAGCTATCTTTCTCTTCCCTCCCCACTTATTCTTCCTAGAAAACAGTACAGAAGAGAGACCTGGTCTTTGAACAAGATTCCCCATCCTTGCTTCAAAACACAAACTGGATTTCTTAGCTGGTTGGGGGAATGAAGCGTCTCCCTTTGTGGCCAGATGTTCACCACCCCTGATAGGCCCCGTTCAGATGCACACTCAAGGACTGGGAATACATACATTTAGCAACAGGATAAAGAAGAGACCAAAAGGGCAGTCAAATGGAGAGAAGAATCAGATATTTTAGTTACCTAAGCCCCAGGGAGACAGTACCAAGAAGGTGGCAAACTGTGTCAGGTCCAGCAGTAGCCAATAGGATTGAGACAAAGAAGAGACACAAGTAAGAGCAAAGGCTCTAGCAAAAGTCCAGAGGTACTGGGGGGTTCTCAACAAACCCAGCTAGATAGATCTTATCTTCTCAGGCCAGTCTGGCCGGAATCACCTGCCAGGAGTGAAGCGGACAAGACACACCTTGGGTGAACCAGAGGCTGCAGAACAAGTAGGGGAGATGGAGATCACACTGCCTTCCCTCTGCTGCAGAAACTCAAGCTGAACCTAAAGGAAGGCGCTTTGCACCAAGGAGTTGGGAAGGCAACAACTTAGTACACTAGCAGGCTGGTGGGAATCAGTTCTAAATCACCAGCCCTGACTGAGATGAAACAGAAACTTATGTCCATTTTGTAAGCAGGCAGTACAAGAGCTGATCACAGGTTATCATGCGATTGGTTACATGAATTAAGTCATAAGTTGTCAGGCAGAATTAACTAAAGGGCATTGTTCATTATGAGTCAGGGAAATCCTGGGAAAGGGGGTGCTGAGCAGGGCAGGTAGAGTTAAGTGTGCCCTTGACTGGGCTATTTTGTCCCGGGTAAAAAGTCCTGGAAACATATTAGAAAAACTGGCTATATTCTTAGGTGGGAAAATAGAGTCCTTGCAGTGAGACGGGACAGGCTGCCCTGTACCAGGCTGTCTATGGAAAGCACTGGACACAGTCCAGACTGAGTAGGTTTAGCCGTCTAATTATGTGACAGCCGGATGAACACATCTTGTCTCAATACAGCAAGACTACTAACTGATTTTTAAAATTTCTTGCTATTAAATTTCCATCACCACCGCCCCCATGCCTTTGGCTCTTTGTGATGGTTGCTGTTCTGTTTTTATGGCACTGGGAATTATCTATCCTGTCCACGAGTTTCCTTTTAAGAAAAGCATCAACTGCTCTATTATGGGATCAGGGCTTAGTGGTCTGAGGATCTTTGTGGGGCTTGATCACCTCTGATATATGAGTCCTTCATAGTAAGTGAGATCATTTTGCCAATAGCCTTGGGTGCACTCAGAACTCTTTACTGGTCATCACACCCCACTCTATCCTTGCTATTTACTGACATCTTCATCAGCTTGGCTCAGCATTCCCTATGCATCACATGTGGTATAGCCTCCCTGTGTATCCTATTTTTTCTTTGTTTTTGATTTGTTATGAGTCAAGTGTCATTAGGCCGATATTGAACTGACATCAACCCTCCTGCCTCAGCCTCCTGACAGCTGGAATTACAGGTTTGTATCACCACACCCAGCTTTTAGGTCTGCTGTATAAATGAGGATTTGGGTCACTTCTGGACCAAAGCATCTTCTTCCAATTTTTAAAATTTTAGTTTTGGTTCTTCTGCTAGCTTTCCTTGTTTATAATAACACATTTTAAATGGTTTTTTATTCTATCAATATTAATATTTTTCAATTATTCCTCACTATGCAGACATGCATATTCCTGTCCTACTGCTCCTTCCACTTCCAGTTTTATGAGTTCTATCAATTATAATTTTATTTCATTTTGTCATGGTTCATAATATATCATTTTCTTCTATGACTAATATTCCATGCTTTGTTTATAGATAGCTAGTAAAGGATGAAAAGTCAATCAATTTTATTTTATTATGACTCTGTAAACATGTTCTCTTTAGACTGAAGTCATTTGTTAAGATTATATTTCTTAAAGTTCTATTAGTTGATAACCACCTGAATTGATCTTCTATGCTTATCTTTTGAAAAATCTGTCTTTGCTTTTGGCTCTGACTTTATATGCTAAGACTGGCGTTATCTTCCAACTTTCCTAATGAAATTTAAAACTGCAGTGGCTATGTATTTAGGCTCTAAGAACTCTTTTAGGTCTTCAGACTGTGCCTTTTTCAAAGCACCCAAGCTCTTGTTTTGCGGATGTAATATCTTCAGTTCCCTCTCAGAGCACTTTTAACACATTTTTGTTTCCAATAACACCAACTGGAGTCAACCGCGCTATTTGACTTTCCTGCACTGATTTGCTTCATGTGACTACTAATTCACTTCCTTCTTCAAGAACTCCAATAAACTTGTTTTCAGAATAGTTTTGGATTTACAGAAAAGTTGTAATAATAATAATACAGGCCACGAGTGGTGGCACACACCTATAATCCCAGCACTTGGGGTGCTGAGGCAGGAGGATCACCTAGAATTTGAGGCCAGCCTGGGCTACATGGTGAGTTCAAGGCTAGCCTGAACTACACAGTGGGACCCTGTCTCAATAATAATAATAAAATGGAGAGCTCCCATATACATCACCCTGGGCTTGTCTATTATTAATATATTATTATGGTACATTTATTATGATGAATGAATAGTTATACATTCTTATTATTATCTAAAGCCTATACTTCACTTAGATCTTTCATTTCCACCGACAGCATCCCATCCAGGTTCCTCGTGACATTTAGTCATTGCATCTCCTTAGCCTTTTCACTTTCCCCACTTTGATGGCTTCGGCACTGTTGAGGAGGACCTATGAGGTACCCTGCAGAATGTCCTTCTGTGGGGATTGCTTGGATTTTTGCCCTGATTATGTTAAGGTGACAGAATTTGGGGATGGAGGACCAGAGGTAAAATTCCATCCTCAGCACATCACGGTAAGGTGCAAACCACCCACAAGACTTGGTACTGCGGCTGTTAACTTTGAGCGCCTACCTGGCATAGTGTTTACCCTGTTGCTCTACTGTAAAACTACCTCTTTCCCCCTCTTTCACACTGTATTCACCGGAAGAAAATCACTACACACAATCTACATTTACAGACCGGGGATTGCTTCAGAGATATTCGTTTGGAAGGAGGAGGCTGGGGTTACCTTTTCCTGCTGGGTGAGGAGGGCTCCCTCGGAAGTTCTGTCTTCCTGCTGGTTTTCTTCATGGGGAACTCTCCATCCTTCATGTGGGGTGGACAGCAAGAGGTCATCCAGCTGGGCTCTTCTACCCCAAGTGAAGGGTGCACTCTGCCCTGCAGCCGCCAGCTCTGGCTTAGCAGCCCAGATCTCCATAGTGAGTTCACTGAACTCCTTTAAAAATAATTCTGTTTCTTCTCTCCTCCTTAAAAGTAAACGGTATGTCACCTGCTACTTTTCACTGGCAGGCAGAGGCAGGGAAATGGTTTTAAAGGAAGAATTTAGATGATCTCTCAGATATTCGCACCTCTTTTTATCCTGGCATCCTTCATATATTCCCAAGCAGAGCCTTTCCAGGGTTCTGTCTTCCCCACCTCCTACCACCTCCTGTGTTGTATTTTGGGCTACAGCCTCCTCCACTCCACGCCTTTTTACATATTTTGAAGAACAACTATAACGTCACTGCTGCACTTTAATATTACTACGACTAATAAAAGGTTCTCTATTGCCTACTGAAGAAAATCTAAAGCCCTCAGCTCCATATTCAGATGCATTTAGAAGCTAATTACTAAGGTTACAAACTTGTTTCCATTTCCTTCCACATCCATTGCTGCAAGCAAACAGATCGCCAGTTCCCTGTGCCACGAGCGGTCAGGACTCCACGTCATTCCTTGTCAGTTCTGTCTCATTTACTTCAATGCCTTATCACCTTCACTCCACTCAAATTCACATCTTCCCCAGGAAAAGAAGTCATTTCTACTTCTCCTAACACTTGCCTGTGTTTGTATCATAGCTCTGCGTGTGCGCACCTTATTAATTTATAGAACCCTAAGCTGAGGGTAGGATTCTTTTACTCTAGTACTAGCCCAGTGCCTTGTACATAGTAGGAATTTTAAAAGTACAACAGATATAAAGCAAGTCATTTCTGTAAGGGCAATTTATATTTAGCAGGATCCTTTGAGGAAAGAAGGATGGCAACTGGTAAACACATACTTAATTGTATCTGGAGGAGATTCGAAAACATTTTATGCTTGATTGTGTTTTTTAAAAATTATCATTATAAACTGGGAATCATGATGGGGTCTTTTATTACAGCTATAAATCTGCTAGAAATGCATCCAAAGATGGAAATAATGGGGTTACATTTCAAATTACATAATCAAGTTCTATGTATCAGTGCTAAAACATTTATCACATTTGTAAGTGGTTTGGAGAAACATGATTTGCAGTATAAAAACCCAAAGGTACTTTTCTCATAAAATCTCAACCTAATTGAGAAATCAAATGCCACCCTACAAAAGGCAAGTATCTTAAACTATAATGGTAGAGTTCTTACAGCCTCACTGTAACTTTCAACCCAGAAATTTTTTCTTGGATTCATCATCTGTCCTTCCAGATGGTCTAACCCAGTGTTTTGGCCACCAGGAGCAGGAAAATGATGGATAGCAACAAAGACAGTGTTTAGCACAAAGAAGAAACATCATTTATGATACACATTGGGTTTCAGATCCATCTGCAAGAAGTTTCTTCTGATCCGTCTCTAGAATAAAATAATGCAAGAAGAAAGAACCCATTCAATGTCCCTGAAACGTCACAGAGAGAAAGAAACAAAGAGGACTGTTTGTTAAGTGAAAAGCAGGTGTGCGGTGGTTTTTATTATTCATAATACTGTTGGGTATTATAATTTGAATCATCCAGGTACATTATAGTTGTTAAGTCTCGGTATCATTTTTTTCACCATGACTTTTTCTCTCAGGATTTTCATAAACATTATTTACTTTAAAATAGTTTTTTCTTTCAAAAAGTTTTTCCTGTTTTATGAAAAAATAAAACAAAATTTCATCATCAGTAAGAGAATAACAATAGGTATTATACTGTGCATGTAAATGAAATTGCTCTCATTTGCCTTTCTACTGAGATAAAGTACAAACTTAGTTATCGAATTAAGGTCCTAGATTTACAAATTTAGACCTCAGGAAATGGGAGGTATATGTTTAATCTACTTTTTGAAATGACAATACAGAAAATAAATATAATAGCACTTTATTGATTTATATTCATTTGACAAACATGAACAGCTGTCTTATTCACCGATTTTTGGATTTAAATATTTTCTTGAAACTAAAAAAGGCAAGTAAATAAATATGTTAATGTCACCAGAAATAAAGATCTTCAAATAAAAGAACAAAAACCTTGTAATGCTAAATTTGAATTGGCCTTATTATATAAATTTATTTTTTTAAAGCATGTATTTCTTAGCCCTGCTCATTGAAAGGCTCTAAAAGCAAAAATGCCCTAGGTAAAATTAGCATTTTTGTTTTAAACCTTACTTTCTTGTGTTGGATTTCTTGAATCTTGCCTATTATATGCGTTGGTATAGATTTATTTTGATCATGGCTAATTGGAATTCTATATGGCTCACTTATCTTTCTGACAAATTCTTTTTTGCTGCTTAAGTTTTCTGCCATTGCTTCTGTGAGCAAGTTTTCTATGATATCTGAGCTTTCTCCTGTTTTTTTATTGACTCTGATCAATCTTATATTATTCTTCTTTCCACTTCTCGTGGTCCCTTGCTATTTTTAAAAACTCTTTCTTTTTATGATCATTGAACACAATCCTGTTTTCTCTGTCTGAGATTCTGTCCTCACACTGGTTTTATTCTGCTATATATACGTACAGTGAAATGTTTAATCACCTGGATATCTGTTTGAATGTTTCATGGATCTCATTTCTTTCCTACGTTGGGTGATCAAAGTTTCCATCATTTTCCTAAGCACCTTTATTTTTAAAATCTGTATCTGTCATAGAATCATTAAGTATGTCTTTCATTATGTTCACCATCTCTGTAGCTATCTGAGAAGTTATTTGGGATTTGATTTTTTTTCTAGAACCTCATTCATTTGCCTTGTTACTTCCACTGTTACCACTTCAGAGAATTCAGGTGGGTAGCTTTTGAGTTAATTCTCCTCATTGCCCCCTGGGTTTGCACCCTGAGTTTGCCTTTAGTGAACTGGATGTCTGGGGTCATATCTTATTTTTCATTTCTATTTTTTTTTAGTTTAATTCCTAGGTTGATGCTTATAAGTTGATTGTAGTGAGTAGCTTTAGTGCTAGTATTTAGAACCCTTAGGAAATGACTGCTTCTTAGAGATGTCTTTCAGGGATAGCTGGCTTTTGGGTTTTGAGTCTGTTTTGTGATTCTAACTCTTCACTTTACTGGGGATGAGAATTACTGCCTCTTTTGCCTAGCTCCTAGTTCTTTGGCACTGGCCTATACTATTGCTTTTTTATTTTTAATTTTTCCTATAGTGCTTATGACCCTTAGGCAATCTCAGTCTTCGTATACCAGGAAGAACGACCAATTAGAACAATTATGTCACCTTGGCTAAAGTAGTACAATTGGCAATAACAGCATCAAACATTACCTAGAAAATGACAAGCTGTGGTAAATATTAATTTGCCACCTTTAACCATATGAACTAGATTTGCAGTTATATAACAAAATCTACAATGAACCAGAAAATTATGTATAGTAAATAACCCCTCAATATGGTAATTTGACCCTCAGGAGAGAAATTTTACAATGGGTTCAGGGGAGAAAAGAGCGTAAAAGAAAAGGAAGAGATTAGAAGCAAGGCTGGAGGATCAAGGAGGATCACACCAACTTTGGGGAACTGGTGAAGAAGCCAGGAGAGAGAGAAGGAAGAAATAAAAGCAAGAATAAAACAGAATGACAACATAAAAACCTAGAAACTATGTTCACACTCATAAAAAATAAGAATAAATAATGAATAATAAAAATACCAAAACAGAACAAAAATGAAAACAAGAAAAGAAAGAAGAAAATAAGGGGGAAAACCCACTTAGCAGTGTGTCTCTGCCATCACTAGTAGACAGCGTGGGCAGACAGAGTCTAGATCTGAGGTGAGTAACCTCAGAAAGCCTGCTGTAGCCTTCCAGCGGGGTAGGAGATAATCCCAGCGAGCCTGCACCTTTAGTTTCACTGGAGTTCAGGCTGGTTTCTGGCTGTGAGGCTGGAACCCGATTTGTTCCTCGTGTTCCTCTGTGTACATCCTGCCAGCTTGAACTCAGCAGCTTCACCCTGACTGGGAACTGCTAGATGGAGCCTGCAGCTGTTCTGAGTTCTGAGCTCAGCTGGCCCCTCTCCAAGATCGCTACCAGCCAATCGCCCTCTCCTGGTGGACATCTGAGCCCCACTAGCTCACTGTCCACCGCAGTCTGCCGCCTCCACTGCTCTGTTCCACTGCTTGTTTCTCTGTGGAGGTGCCTGAGGGTGCTAGCAGCCACTGTGCAGGTTCAAGCTGTCCCCCCACACAGTGAGTCAGGGTTCAGGGAGAAAGGGACACTTGTCACCTCCTTCTTCATTGAAGTCTCTCTCTGCTCTCCCTGTGGGCTTCAGTTCTTGCATCAGATCCTTTCTGGGCTCCAATTCCCTCCTTCTTTTCTTCTTCACATTGATATACCCCAGCTGGACACCAGATCTCAGAGAGGCTCTTTCTCTGCTGCTCACCTCTCCTCCCTCTTCCCAGAAGTCAGCCAGACCTTGGTTTCTAAACACTCTCACTAGAATTTGAAAATCCATGGATTTTTGTGGAAATGGCCAGGTTCCACGACCAGAGTGGGAAAAGTACAAACTGAAGCCTGGATAAGCAAGTACCCAAAAGCAAGACAGTGCTCATGACCAACAAACATGATCACAATGGATGCAATGAAAAGAACTCAGAGGTGCTCTCTTAATTACACTAGGGACATTTTCAGATCAAAAATAGCAATCAAGGGGGCTGGGGATTTAGCTCAGTGGCATAAGCGCCTGCCTTGCAAGTGTGTGGTCGTGAGTTCGATCCCCGGTACTGATAAAAAACAAAAAGACAAAAAAAAAAAATCAGAACTCATAATTAGAAAACAGTAAATGAAAATCCATGAATGATAAAGAGCCAGACTTCAGCTTGTGGGAAGCTCCTCATTTAAGGTACAGTGATATCTCAGTTGTCAGATCGTGCCACACTCCAATTTTTCACTACTCCAACAGCAAAGTTCAAAAAAAAATTTTTTTTCTTGGTGTTCATAACTTTGCTCAACAGTGAAACTGAAAATCTGATATGAAAAAATCCTGTCCAGCCAGGAGTCATCATGCGGACCCAAAGGGGTGACGGTCTTAACCACCAACATGTGGTGCCACATTCGTCACTGTGCTTTCCTCCTTTTTTCCACTGTATTTGTATAAAGGGTTACACCCAACGGCTCCTAAGAAAGTTAGTGATACCAGCAGTAAAGTGAAGAGGAAAACTGTGAGAACCATGACAAGGGTTAAGAGTCCTGGGAAAATGAATTTGTAAGTGTAATTTT